TGGCGTGTCTCGCGCGGTGTGGGGACAATGCGGCGGTGGCGATGGCGATGGCGGCCGAGGCGACGATCCGTATCGATGCATGAACCTTTGTGTGGAGGTGTCACACCACCAGACTCACTCACAATGCGTTTTGCTCCGGGTGTTCGTGCACTCGTTTCCTCTGAAATCCTGCGCATGCTGCTCAAGGCTTTCGCGCTCCACTGGACGTCACTACGTCAACATTTCGCTTTGGGCGCAGGACTGACAACCCTTGAATGCCGAGAGCTCCTCCACCGCCGTGGTACGGTCGCCTACCAAGTCCTTCTTCTCAGCGCACTCCGGGAAATCGCTCACCCTGAGTCGAAAGGAGAATCCAAGAACGGTTGTAGCAACGAGGTAGATGCAAGCCAGAAGAGTGTCGGGCTCGGCAAGGAGGGTTGCGGGATCCCCAATCGGATGTTGGTGCCTTACCCGACAGACATCGACCCTGTGTGGGTGCATCGAGTGGTCTGTCTGGTTACGCAGTTGTGTCGACTGCACACACTGATCGATCTAACCGCAGAGAACTTCGTGTACCACTTATTCCAGGCAACATTGGAGGCCTTGTTGGCGTGTAAGGAGTTCGTGAGAATCCCGACCTTTGAGGAACTCCAAGATGCATCTGTGAGGCCGCGGCGTGGTCCATCTCGGCACGCGTTTGATGAAGGATTTCTGGATCTGTGTTTCCAGAATATTTTGACGCTACAACCTGCGGAGATTAGTCGCTTCGTCGACGCAGGACCTATTGAAATTGCAGTCACCTTCGCGGCCAATTTCGGTCAACCCACAGCGGGTGAACCGGCAGCGGTAGGGAGGCAACAATCTACTACCTTCGTTGCACCACGCGATTACCGTATAAAGACCGTTCTTGCGCTGCATCGAGGACGTCTCCATTGTCTCACATGCTCCCCCGATCGACGTTGGATATGTTGCTCGGACCAGGATGAGAATCGTATCCTTGTCGAACACTCTGGTTCAGACCCAACTAGGGCTTGGACTTTCGGTCCACAATTGATGCCTGTCGCAGTGGTCCTCAAAAAACTTGCTACACATGAAACGGACCACGGAAGGATGAGGAGGGAAGGGAAGGATGAGGAATCGGTAATAGACCGACCAGCCGACGATTCAGTAGTCGATGATTCAGGGGAACGAACCGACAGCTCGGCCACTGGCTCCGTATCTGAGAGAGAAACGCCGTTGCTGGAGTCCGCCGCGCTGGAGTCCGCCGCGCTGGAGTCCGCCGCGCTGGAGTCCGCCGCGCTGGAGTCCGGACTGAGTCCCAATGACGAAGCTGAGGACCATGGTGAGATCACATTGGGGCCCAATGAAGTTGCGTTGGACGTATACTTCGGTCCGTGGAATGAGCCTCGTAAATATGTGGTGAGTGAGGATGCCAGTGTGTGCCAGCTCGGCGACCTCTTTGAAGACGCACAGGACGCCGGTTCGAATCCGTTCTCACCCTCTTTGCGACCGAATACCCGCCGGAAAGAATTTTGCGTCTTCCAAATACAAGACGCCACCGGCCGCGGTTCGACGCCTGGAGGTGACAAACGCCGGCGGCGACGCCTTCGGGAGGGTCTGGAATTCCGAAGCGTCAAGGGCCAAGAGAAATTGTCCGGCCTCGCCGATCGACAGCACGTCGCTCTCTTAGTCTGTCCCTATCCCGGCTCGCTCGCCGACTTGGACCGGCTTGCCCCCCACAATTTCGACGACTACGAAGAACCAGAAAAACAATACTTAATCGACCCAGTCCACCAAGACCCAGTCGACCAAGATCGATACCCACGGGACCAAGATCAAGACGGAGGCGCGCAAGACCAAGATCAAGAAGACCAACAGCACGGTCGCAGTCCGGTTGAGGACGGACGGGTCCAGCGTGTGCGCGTAGTGGTTAACTGTGTTGTGCGAGTGCGTAGTATTTCGACCAAGGCGCACAAGTTGTGTTTCGTGCGTTATTATGACTTTGAGAATCCGGGTTTGGTGGACCTAGGTTGCGTTGTGGCGAAGAGTGAGTTGGCTCTGTGTGCATTGAATGAGTTGGTTGCTGCTAAAACGAATTGTGTGCGTCGCACAATATTGGAACATCGATTAACGCACGCACGTGTGTGTGATCGTGGTGTGTTGCTACGTGAGTTGGAACAACTGGAGACGGTTTCATCCAATGAAGTGATGTGGCTTCAGGATGCTGCTTGGTCGCCGGATTCGGGTGCAGGTAACTTTGGGTCAAGGAAATCAATCAATAATTCCCGTACTCTCCTTTCGTTGCCCCAGCGTCATAGTGACCTCAACTCCATTTGGAGTCAGAGTCGTCTTCTGCATCCTCCAAGTACCGGTCCGTGTGACGGACCAGCGCCGGGTGTGGTAGGGGCGTTATCATTGATTGTGCAGCGTGTGTCTCGTACGGAAACGGTGTTGTGTGAGGTGTGTGGGCGTGGTGTGCCATGGGAGTTGGCACTCAGCTTCACACTCAGATGCTGCTCGCGTGCCTGTGAGTTTATTGGTGTGTCCGGATACGACATGCATTTAATGACACCTCACTCTGCATCTGTCGCTGTCAACGGTGTTCCCAACCTGATTACGGTTGGTTGTGGGCCTGGTGGCACGGCATTGCGTCCGGAGTTATTGGGTCATTACCGCCTCGGGGGGTTCGGCGCAGATGGGCGCGCATTCTGGGAACTCATTACATCAACTGGACGAAGACGATTACAATTCCATCGTGGCCGTTGTCGCTGGGAGATCACAGGTGCACTAGCAGCTGATGCGAGGCCTCCAGGAACATTGGCGTTTTCGGAACGGAGTTTATTCAGTGTGTCATGTGAAGGAGTTGGTGTGTGGCGTGTTTGGAATGGACACGGCTTTGTGGAGTGTCCACACATGTTGATCCAGAGTCATCATCGTGTGCATTTGGCTCCATCTCATCTCATTTTGGGTTGTGGTGTGAACGGTATCCTGGGTGTGTATCAAAAGCTGCGTATGACGCATTACAACGCTCCGTTTTATGTGCGTGCGTCGGAGCATGCGTCGCACGACTATTTCTGTCGGACCAGTATATCGTTTCAAGCCCACAACTCTACTTGGCGACTGACTGTACCGACTGTAAATGGCGTGCCGGTGGCCCCTAGTGTGCTAGCGGGTGCCTGCGACCTATTAGCGGCCTCCGCTGCAGCCCCACTTTCAACGGACCCAACAGCATCGGTATGGGGTCCAGTAGCGTCAGCTAATCCCAAATTCACGGTTGAGGCTATACCCTTCCAGTCCTTGTGGCGTCCTTTCCTATTGACAGTACAATCCGGCATCCCTAATTTCCCGTCAGGTGAATATTTACTACCTCGGAATGCAATGGATGCCACCTTGCACTTTGCTGCTTCACCTGAATCGGGTGTAGACGAACATGTAGTACATCCGCGCATTCTACTACGCGTCCTTGACTTAGCAGGACACCTCATCTGTCTCGCACCAGCAACGCACAATATCCATGATTCATTCCTCATAAAGTTGCACCGAGGTTCACGTGAAGATGGCTTCTGGAAATCTGCTTCTGTCAATAATGCACATGGACCTGAAGCGCGTATCATTGCCATGGCCGAGCTACCTAGTGCTGTACATGTCTTCGGTAACGGTGCTGCAGCTTCCCTTCGTGGTACTTACCTCCTTCTCAGCTCGTTATTCAACTTCCGTCCTGTTTACGTTCGTCTTACACCTAGCTACGCAGACCGCAGTCTCGGACTTATGGCACCTCTAGCATTGGAAACGGTAGATCAATTATGCGGTGGTAATGAGGCGGCAGCAGCACATCTTGCCCACCCTCCCGTGTTCCTTTATTACTCCTCTACCTCCGAGACCTGGCGCTTTGGCACACAGGCAGGAAGCGGGGCTGCTGTCTGTGAAAGCGAAATTGTCCTTGTCGTACACCATCCCGCTGTCAAAGTACACCGAGAAGAGGAACCAACAAGTCTTGAGGAAACGATTGAGGAACTCTATCTGCTGTGGCAACGTCGTGATACGGAACTCTTCTCACGGGGCCTGCTCTCAGGACCAGATGCGAACGCTACATACGCCGTTGAGGCTGACAAACGCCTCACCTTTACTAGCTGCGTTACTGGCGAACCACTTGACATACTGGTTACCTGTCTCCCTCATGACTTTCCCGTCTCCACTCGGCGCATCGTTTCCATGCTGGCTTCACCTCTTAAACATGTCGCCGAAGTTCACTCATTACTTCCCACACGTCATGACCATGATGATGACGACGATTGGGAAACCGCCAGCGACCCTTCCTGCACAAGCTCTCTTGAATGGCGTCGCACACATCGCCCCGTCCGTTCTGGCGCATTCGCACGGATACACACTGTCAACGGCGTCAAACCCAGATCCACTGTTAAATCAGCTGGCAAAGCCGAAGAACCCGCGATCGAATCCGACTCTGACTCTTACATCACTGAAGGCTACATCAGCGATGACGATGAAGACGACGACATCGCACTCAGACGATCAATGCCACGTGAAGGGGGGGCAACCACCAAGTTGGGCGCCGCAACCAAATTGACAGAACGAATTGAACCACACCGTGATGAACTGGAGGGTAATCCGGAGGACGACCCATCCGACGACCATCCGCTGGTCCTACCGGAAGCCGAGTCGCGCACCCTAAGTGAAGAACGGAGTGAAGAACCAACTCCCACTTCCAAACGACGCTCCAAACGTAACAGTCGGGCACCGGAACCCCCCGAGGCGTTCAGTCGCGAAACCGAGGAACCGGCCATTACACTCCCAGAAGACGCAAACGTTACCGACCTTGGCGACGATATCTTCTACGCCTTCCTTGAGTCCGGCAGGTACGCAAAACACACCCCGGATGACACGCACCCTCGATGGACACACACACCGGATGACACACATCTTCTTTGTAGTTTGAGTCAGTCTTGTAGTTTGAGTCAGTCTTCTTCGGAGTTTTCGCGACAATTACAACGGTCGGCATTAAGTCACCAGATAAAGCAACTGCGACATCAATTGGGTAAGCAAAGTGCGCATGCATCGGTACCGTTTAGTGTGGTCGTGAAATTGACGTGTGCGGAATGGTTGACGGTGGAACATGGGACTATATCAGTGCGTCCATGGGCGGATGTAGCATCAGCTTTGTACCGTCGTGCGGGTACGGGTGAGTGTGCGTTACAGTTTGCTTCGTTGCTCGTGTCTTATCGACAGTTGCAGAAATGGCTCTGCGA